ATCGTAGTAAAATGTTTGCATTGGCGGTATTAAAGTTAGGGCAAAGATGAATAACTATATAGATATTAAATATCTAACAATTTTTCTTTGCCTCAATAAGATTTTATTGCTTTTTGATTTCCGAATCAATTCACTGAGCAAATATTTGTGTTGAAGTTTACGTAACGGAGCTCTGCGGGAAGAAAGACAGATAATATCCGGCCATTTTTTCGTTGCTTACTCAATTTACGATTTCTTCGTATATAACACATTAAAAGAATGTCAGTTATCGGGAACATATAAATTACGACACTGTTAAATAATAAAATAGAGAAACAAAGGAAAATCATTTTTTAATGCAAAAGTAACTAAGGTAATAAAAGTAAATAAATTACACAAAAAGTTTTAAAAATAAAATATAGCATTCGTCGTGTAGGTAACCTGGAACGATATAATGAAATGGTTATTAACGCTACAAATACTTAGTTTTGGCATAAGTCACATATGTATCACTTACTAGATGTGATCAGAAATCATCTAAGTTCTTTTCTCAGTGCCCCGTTAAGGATGCTCCAATCAATATTTGTAAACATCTATGTAAGCACTGTCTGTATTTGTATCTGCAAACAAAACAGTGGCATCAATTAAGCTGACTTTGCTAAAAGCAAGGCTGTTGTTAAGCCAAATAAGTAAGTAATTATTATACCCTAATCCTATCATGTGTAGAATGTATAAACTGTGTGTATAATCTATGTTTAGTACAGATCTGTCTATATAACTTGAAATAAAATAAAATAGCATATCACAGTGTTTTTTTTACAAGTCCTTATTGTCCATTAAACATATTGATTGATTAGAATGTTAGTTTTTTACATCATTGCCACAATGTACTTTGTTTTCGTCGAGTACCGATGCACCATAATCAACTGAAGCTTTTGCGGGTGTGTGTCATAGGCAGATATATCCATCTACCTTTTTTAGAGTCCTTTTACGTTTGTTACACATACACACTACTATTGACTACATACATTTATAATTTATTGATATAATTGTCTAAAAGCCAGATGTTTGAATTTTTTATTTATTAAGTTAAGAAAAAACACTTCTTTTTCTGTCCAAAACATTTATTTCTTTTTAACACTTATCAAACCCAGACTTAAGTGTATTTATTCATTATTATCTTAATTACAACCTTAACATAATAATTACAACATTAAAAATATTATCAATACAACAAACAAGACATTCATTCTACATTATACAAAATTCGCACCACTTATGCAATAAATGTATACATTAAAAATAAATAAATGTTATTTAAAATACACACAACAACATATAAAATTGCCACGAAACCGCAGTTAAATATTACTTAACACCAATGTACCCGTAGGTTGGGCCGGCGCAAATCTGACAGAAGACCAATGAAGCGTCTCATGGCGTATTTACACTCGTTATTGACGTCAGCGTGTGTTGTGCGAGCGAATTTGCATTGGTCGCTCAACGTTTTATTGACCAATGAGATGAGCGCGCGCATATTCTGCTAATCTTCTTCTTTTATTGATGGCTTATCTGCGCATTTCGCACAATTCTGCCAATATCAAGTAAATAAATAAATTTCTACAGTTAACGAAATCATAGCGCTTCAAATGGCGTTTTAATAATTAAATTTTTTCACAATATTAATATATAATTATAAGTGTACACTATATTATAGTACACTAAATTATAACTGCAATAACACCTTGTTGAACAATGGTAAAATATAACTGCAATTGAAACGCTATTGAGATGAAATTAAGCTAATATTGTCAGAATTGAGACGCATCGTCTATCAGACATGCCCCGAAATGAAAAATTTACAGTTTTGTTTATTCTATTATGCTTTGATTTTATGTACGTAAAGAAAATGGCACTCACAATTGATATACATTTTATTTTTTTCAACTCCAGGGACTATCACAAGATTTTTATTTAAGTATATAAATATTGAAAAAATATATTATTTAAAATAAAATAATATACTTATATAAAATATTACACTTATTTCAGAATGTGATTAAAACATTCATGAAATTATGCATCTGAAAAAAGTTTATTATTTTTTGTAAAATATATATCTACACTAATATCATTAAGGGATTTAATTTGTTTGTTTTCTAGAAACAACTTATCCATTAGGATAACCTCAAAAAATACTAATCCGATTACAAAAAACTTTTTCACAATATAAAGCTGCTTTGTCACTAACAAGGTTACGTTCACACGACAGTGGTGACTTATATAGTACATCAGTCCATTTCGTCAGTTAATTTTTTAAAATTCGGAAAAGCTTTAATTACCTACTATAAAAATTCGTCGATTTACTGCATTTCATGTTTACGCAATTATCTTTTTATCCAACTACGGCGAAGCGAAATTAGAGTCATGATTTAGACCAGTATGTGTGTATGGAAGAATGTTCATCTGTAGTATCCTTATAACTTCAAAACTACTTATCGTAACTGGACAAATGTCATATCATTAGAAGCGTTTTAGTTGTCCGCGTGCTACAGGGTACATGACGTTACATTAAATTGGTAACAGCGACCTCTAGAGAGCATAAAGTAAGAAACTTAAAAAAAATATTTTCAATCATTTTGTGTAGGGTATTAAATGAGTGAGTTTAATTACACCCAAAAACTATTAAACAAAAAATTTGAACAAAAACTGAAACCCGACTACAGCTAAATCATGTTCTAAAAAGTTTGAAAGATGAAATTTATTTTATATCATAATAGCATACGACTACGCTGTCTGTTGTCATCGATTTTATAATTTAACTATCGCTATAAAATAAATTACTTATTTCAAACTTTTTAGAGGATGATGTAGTAGGGTTTTAGTTTTTGAACTTATTTTATATATTGAAAAATTATTTGATTAATCTACTGTCGTGTTATTACACTAGTAATATTTATTAAATTTACGTTATAAATATACTAATTTTAGGCACCAATGGCCGGCATAGAATGTATTCCCAGTAATTTCATTAATTAGTTAAAACTCACATGATATTTTATACTGTTCAAAATATTCCATAAAACTCTCGAGTAAACCTGACTTATATTAAGTGGCGGTATTTTAACTTAATCATAATAACGCATTGCCGTTTCTAAAATGACGTTTAGAATTGGCAATGACAATACAGACTTTATATTATCTTAAAATACGCTGAAAGACCGAAAATAATCATTATAGAGGGCAATTACATTGGTAATAACTTGTATTTTAAACAGAAGTATTTTATTTCTGTTACTAAATATTTTTAATAAAACTTTAGTTTTACATATTTATTTACATTCGTTAAAAATACACGTATGTAAAAGTAAAAATAAAATAACATAAAAAATTGTGATGCATAATTAATTCTATCTTATACCGATTAAATTATAAGACGATAAAATATTGGTAAAACTCATGGGTAGAATTTACTCATTCTCCATGAATTTTGTAGCTAAGTAATGTATTCTTAAGTCGTATATTTGATAGAGCTTATGAAGTTTCTTAGTTAGAGACTTAAAAGTAATGATCAAATATTATCACACATTCCACCAACTTTAGATATCTACTTATAGAATCAGGCACCTCGATATCGCTCAAACCATGCTGAACAGTGAAGTATTATTGTAAATTATGATTTGAATCTTATAAGCTTATAACGCAAGGCCGTATATTGTATAACAAAAATGCTACAGCGCCGATGGTTGTGCTATTGCTTCATTATTTGTTAATAACGCAACGTAATGAAGACAAAATTTCTATATAAATCATCAAAAATCTTATTTCTATATAAATCGTCAAACATACTTTAGAATATTTTATATAATCATAAAAAAAACCTTCATTTTTTAGACCCTTTAAATGAAATGTCAAGGTATCATATTTTTCTCTCTATAATATTCAATTCGTTATTCTACTTTTACCGTAACATTTCATCTTAAAAACGTTCTAAATATATTTTCTAAACAAAATGTAAAACGTAGTTTCATATTATATCTTTATTACCACGCTACCTTATTATGAGTCTTGAATATGATCATAACAACTTCCGTTATTATGTACAACAAACTTGGTCCGTGAATGTACTTTGATCTTCGTATAACCACTAGAGTCTAGTGGTTTGGACTACACGGATAGTGTCTAGTGACTAGACGGATCGGGCTGAAATTTGGCATGCAGGTAGATGTTATGACGTAGGCATCCGCTAAGAAAAGATTTTGATCAATTCTACCACCAAGGGTATAAAATAGGGGACGAAAGTTTGTATGAAACTTTGTCAATTTTAAACCGAACGGGCTGAGAGACGTAGGTATCCCCTAAGAAAGAATTTTGATAAATTCCAACCCTTAGGGGATGAAATAGGGGATGAAACTTTATTTCAAGTATTTTACACGATGTAATGAATAAATATTCGTTAGAAATGCTGCTCAAAGTAACTTTACCACGCGGACAAAGTCGCGGGCAAAAGCTAGTTTTAAATAAAGTTTATACTCGCTAATAAGTATGCACATAGTACTTCGTTTGACTTACGCAGTACACGATTATATTAATATTGGTCAGTTGGTCAACTCTGCGTTTAAGAAATACTTTATGAAAAAATACTTTTTGATTCAATTCAATACATTTGCCATTTTAATTAAATTGATTTGAATCAAAAAACGCGAATTATGTCACATACTAATTAGTTATCAGATTATTTGAATTCCAGGAATCATAACACAGTCGCGGTTGCTAATGCATGCGTAATTTAAAATAGTCTGTAAAAGAAGAACAAAACAAAACAAATATAAAGCCGGCTTATAAACATCCGCTTTACTTACAGCCTAAGTCAAAAGACTTTAATTATTCTTCTTCCGTCGTCGTTACAAGAAAAGTAGCCTTTGAGATACAATTTGAATCCTACCGCTACTAAATGAAAGTTTAAATTGATATATATCTAAATTTGGTCGTCGTTGGCTGTATAAAATGTGACGAATGACTTAATGAGCATCCAGCCCAGAGTCCAAGAAGTCTTTCAGGTAGAGAGGTACTCGTCGTGGCATAGTTCTGCACATCTGGAAATTTTAAACATATTGTAGTTTATGCTTATAAAGTGAAAGAATTTTGAAAATAAGTTCAGTAGTTTCGAAGCCTATAAAATGCAAACAAACAAACTATATAACCTCTCTCTTTATAATATGTGTATTCAGACAGCAAAAACCTAATTCAGTATAAGTTAAAAGTATTTCCAAACAACCATTTGTCTAAAGAAAATAATTAATGAAAATGATAAAAAATCAACTTCATTAAAATACTGTTTGCAAATTAAATCTAATAAGTTGGACCACTGAATTTAGACAAATAACGTGGGTCTCTAAAAACTAAAAGCAACATTAATCACATTAATTTTAAAAAGATTATGCATATCGCACTTATGCTGGTAAAACCTGTAAACTGTCTTTTTTTTTAAAAATGAGTTAAATGCAGCACACATACGATAGAAAATTTCAAGTGGTATAGTTTTTTAAATATTTACAGTGAACAAGTTTTACAAAAGTTTAAAAATATTATAGGTATTGATAGCAAAAATTGTTGTTGCGCTTTAGAAAACACTACGCAATGTAATATTTAACCTGGTTGATGTAGTAGAGGGAGCTGGGGATGGTTATCTCGTGGTAGTTGCGTCGTATCGCGTCCACTATTTTATCAGCGGCTTCACCAGGTGTCAGGATCTTTATCAGGCTTGGATATTTGACCCGCGGTTTCTTGCACAAGCCAGTGTCAATTATGAACGGGCATATTACGGTCAGTTTAATCTGAATGCAGAATATAATTACAAAAGTTAATTAAGTGAATATAAAATTAATAAACAAAATCAAAGGTCTTATATGTCTTAATCTTAGTGTTGACGCGATGTTGTACGAAATTACTACTTTATAAATCAATTTTATTCTAAGGCTATGCTTATGTTTTATCAAATAAAATTCATTTTAGGAAAATTAAACATATGATCGATTGCTCGCTAAAAACAGAAATAAATTTCAATAATAAGCTCGATAGAAATAAATCGCAAAGATTCTACTCTAAACGGGTTTTTCGGATCAATTTTACAACTAGTATATTTCATCTTAACTACAAAGATACATACAAAAATAGACTTTGATATATTCTTTTGATCCCTTTTTTTTTGCATTTGATGCATTTGATTTTTTCTGTGATAAAAAATATTTGAAATCAATCGAATGTCTCTTTTCTTTCGTTACGTATCACCGAGGTATGTGATATAATTGTAGTTTTAGGCAATTGCACGCATATTTTACTCAAACAGTTAAACTATTTTGAAAGATCAATTTATATTCGTTTGAATGGATGACACACTATGCACAACAAATCAGAAAAACAAAAAAAAGCATTAGTTTGCGTCCAGCCGTTGCCAGAGCATGACGTCCATATAAACGCAAGTCGCCATACGTAAGTGCACTCAATATTTTGCAAAGGATTGAAGAGTCAAAAGAAACATAGGTCACAAGGTGGATTATAGTTTCAGCCATTATTGTAATTATTTAATTTTCCTTTATATTATTTAAAAATAATTTTCCATTATTTTTCGACAATAAATAAAAATAAAATACCGTGGTGAAAGCTGCACATTATCTTCTTGAATTTATTATTTGGTATACTCGGTAATAGCTCGGTTTTTTTTTAAGAAAATTCTATATAAAAGCAATACAGATGGTTTGGTAATTCGTTCAGATAATTAGGTAATTATCGTAAAAAACAATTTCCGCAGTATGAAAATTGCATTAGAACTCTTATTTTTTTGTTCTAAATTAAACCATGAAAATTAACTTTGTATGAGAGCTAAATTAATACGACATGAAACCATAACCCAGTCTGTATTTTAAACCTAAGTACTTAATTCAAAAATCTTGTTTATTTTTAGGTAACTTTATTAGTCATCGTTTAAACTTTTGTATTGTTAAAAGTTAATCAAATTTTATTCCTTGGAATTACATTATTTACACTATCGCGGATGAAGCTATCACCGATGGTGAAAACAAGCTAACAATCGGTAATGCCTTGTTCACGAAGCTATCACCGAGTGTTATTACTCGGTATTAACTTCACTATAGAATTCTAATACCGATTGATAATAGCACTTATTCTTGAGATTAGGGTTCTCTAGAAACAAATAAGTACCTCATGTGAAATTCAAAACCCTACTTTCACCTACCTATTTTTCTAACTCAGGATTTAATTTTTACGTAACAATGTGGTTCGCAATAACATGTTGATCATACAAAAAAAATAATTTCTATTAAATAGATATTTATTTATTATTTATTTATTAAGACTATCGAAAGTAATACATAAGTGCCATTGTAATAATAGTAGTAGGTAATAAGTCCGTAATGTAGTGATTTTGATAAAAAACTTTATCAGAGTTAAAAATTGAAACTTGAATAGCCAATAATTAGTGTTTCACTTAAGGTTTGTATGGAACCAACATGCCTATTATTTTTCTACCCTCGGTAATAGAATCACGAATCGCGGTATTAGCTGCAAACTCTTAAGCATACCTCGGTAATAGCTTCATCCCGATTTTTATGTTTAATATTTTTTTTCTTTATGTATTTCCTCAAAAACTACTCTACTCTACATATTTATAGATTCCAAAAATTCAAACCTCTACGTATCATAAAATATATATTAGTAACTGTTTTTACGATCGGAAATTCCTATTTCGAAGGTTTAAACCTTAAAGGTCGATAATACCTGCGTTTACCTTATGTCCAACATTGTACTTTGTTTTTTACTTTAATAAAAACATGAGTTCATAGGCGGCTATTAGATAACAGTCCTTCATAGTCGTTAATCCTGTTTCTTAAAAAACGGGTGAGATCACTAATGATATTTTCATTTTACATAATGTATTTACTGCTAGTATGTATAATATTAGTTTCTATTCTAATTATTTTATAAATAGTTGAGCTTACTAAGATCAAGGTTTCTACATAAATTATATATTAAAAATAAATTAATCAATGCATTAACAACGACAACAGTCGCACAAAAGTCCATCAAAATTGTCATTAGTTTAAAACGATTGAACTGATCTCTGATTGAACGACTGATAGAATTATCATTAGACCTTAAAGTCTTCATTAAACAGTAATGCACGTTTGCGCAACTGACCGCAAGACATGTCAAACGTTTATTTCTTTCATTTCACATTTATTTCTATCGCTACAAAATTTGCATTATCCAGGTCCTTATATGGCCCCTTCAAAAAAGCAGATAAAGTCGGTGGTACAGTATTTCTGCAGACCGGGTTTAATTCCTTCGCTTTAGTTTGTACACCTTTCCTGGGGTTCTTTATTTCGCACGTCAAAGTTATAGCCTAGGTATATCTGTAGAATCAGTACCCAGACCTAGGACCCAGAACCTAATAAATGAGAGCAGACTATTTGTTTAGACCATTGTGTCCTCCCGCTGGATCCTCTCTGAGATTCTCGTGCGGCGTCTTCATGTAGCCACTCATGGTAAAGTTAGTGGCGTCGCATGATTAGATCAAATATTACCTACTTATTACTTAGTGGTATCAACATCTAATACACTACTGGAGGTCTTCGTGGAGATGTCTTTCTCGTGATATTTCTCACGAACATATTGATGGCCGGGTATAGTAGTAGATCTATTGTTACCTAAGTAACATTATTTTCTATTACTAAGCCCTTTAGTTACCATACAGTGATATAAAAGATCTATAACAATAACCAAATAACCATTGTTACTGGTTTTAGTTTAACGGTTTTCAACAATATTAGAAAGCATTTATGTTATGTTTTAGAACAAATTAGTAATGAAAAATAGGACCTGTTTGGGTTGACAACATCATTATAAAATTAATTAGCACGCGTTAAAACGTTCTTGAAACTTCTATACCACAGAATTTTGCTACTAGGGTAATCAACTACTTACACCACTGAAATCTCTGGGATCCTCTCGCAGCTCCTCGTGTAAAGCTTCCATGAACCCGCACACGGCGAACTTGGTGGCGCAGTACGGGACCAGGTTGCGGAGCCCCACCACGCCTGCCATTGACGACAGACCCACGATATGACCATGGTTACGTTCCATCATACTTGGCAGAAAAGCTTGCACCAACTGCATATAGAATTTATTACTTGTCTTAACAGCTCTTCTATCTCATCGCAAAAGCTTATTTGTATATGGGTAAAATTTCTTGCATTTCAAATTAACACAAAGTATTACATAGGAATATTTACACAAAGTATTACATAATTTATTTTTAATTTAAACAGCTGTCAAACCGAATTATCGTGTAAAAGTAAATTAACCGAATACTGCAGAATAATGCTAAGAAATCTTCGATTGCACGAATGTGATCGTCATACCCAGTGGTGGGCAAGTATGTTAACTTCAAACACGGAGCGAATCTCTTTCTCGGAGTGTTGCAGCAGTGGCTTGCAGGGCATGATCCCAGCGTTGTTCACGAGCATCGTCACCTCGCCAACCTCGCGACGAACCTTCTCAGCCAATGCGTTCACTGCCTCGCGATCTGTCACGTCACATCTGTGTAATAACACGGTTATTTCTTTATTGACCTTAAAAACAAGGTTTATACAAGGATTGACTATTAATGATTCATCATTCAGTCCTCTTTTACAAGATTTGATGCATTTATCAAGTTTTAAAATCGTATCTAATAAAGGGATTGAAATGATTTAAATTATTTAAAAAAATATCGGATCCCAATCTTGGTAATCTAAGCATGTTCCACAAACCGTAGTTATTATTTAAAAACCACATAATAATTACGGAATCTGTTCGTGCATACATGCTTTGTGATACGCTAATTACATGCATTCAGTTTTGGTTATTGAACGAAAATTGTTTGACCAAAAGCAATCTACATAATAACGTGTTTGATGTTCATCCGTTCGTGTCGTTCAACTATGTTGATTACCGTGAACTGGAATTTATTCAAAGAATCAGAGATGCATGTATGGGTATTCAACTAACACACCGTAAAATAATTTAGCATAATTGTTTCCTTACCTTATACAAATACAGCGAACATAAACGCAATATATTCGTACTTCTTAAAATACCTGCTGTGTATTTAATGAAAAAAATTTGGTTCATTGAACAATAGATGGAAAGGAATTAGTGATCGTAGAAATATTAAAAAAAAAATAGAAGAAACGTTATCACGACGATAAATCTGGCATGCTTACTTCTCGTAAATATCTGAGATCAAAACGATTTATATAGATATTAGTGGTACACCACCATTCATTTTAGTAAATCTGACTTTTTAAACTTACACGTATGGGTGTGCCTTCCCCTTATCCTCCTTGATCATATCCACGGTCTCTTGATTGTTTTCAGCGTTGATATCGACGCATATGACAATTCCGCCCAAGTTTCCGAGTCGCAGTGCTGTCTCCCGACCCATACCATGACCGGAACCTGTAATCTGGGAACCAAGGAGGTGATTCTTCATAGTAGTAGCCGATCGGAACAATGCGGGGTTGTTACAGTAGTCGAGTGGGAGGATCCTTATTCGATTTCTGTAAGTTTTCGCAATTTTCGCTTTTCTAAGCAAAAGCATCGGCATTGCTAGAATCGGCAATATAAATCACAGCACTTAAACAAATTATTATTTCTTAAAAATTTAATTAATCGATGCCGTAGTGTTAAACGCGTTTGGTCTGTGATTGCATATGTTGTGTGAAATTTGTCGGATGGATAAACAAAATTCAATTTCAAGCTCCTCCGTTATCCGGCCAAAGTCATGGTAAACTATTCATCCCGGCTGCAAACTCGGTTATTAGCAACGAAAAATCCACGCTAGATCTGTAGAGTGGGTTATGGTCAGATTTTCCTTTGTGTCTTTCCATAGAGTAGGCTGGTAGCTAATCAGTGGTAATATTAATAGGTTTATGAATGAAAGTTAACTTACAAGTATGATTTCTCCCTTGACGCTCTTAGGTTCTGGAGGCACGAAGAACTCGTAGATACAGTAGATCCACATAGCTGTCATCTTCACGTAGAGCACTGCTATCTCCAACGCTACGGTCAAAAAGTTGTACACCTTCATACCGATGCCACGTTCGTCAGTCCTGAAACAACAATGAAGTTCATATAATCAGTGCGAGCGCATAATTATCCTAAGGCCAAAAGGGTCATGACAAGAGCTGCAAACCTATTTATTTCCATTTGTATAATTTTTTTGTCATTTAGCAGCATAAATATTTTACGTATAACTAAAATATTTTGCTCTTTTCAATTATGTTACAAACTAGTAGGCCCGTATCGCTAAATCTAAAAGTATCCCACTATGAAAGTATAGTTAACAGCAATGTAAATATGATAATTTTATAAGAATTGTATTGTAGAATCGTGACTTTGGAGTTAAATATTAGCCGTTGATTTCTAAAATATTTGAACAGACAAGTAAGACATTATCATTTCGATATGTTTTCTTATATGCCGGTCGAAATCGGCCAAGGACAGGAAATCCACGGAGAATATTTAATATCTGGTACAGTGTACTTGTCTAATACCGATTATGTATAGAATTCGTAGCAATTCTAATATTCGTGTAAATTCGTACAAATTCTTCCATGGTTGGTTTTTGATTGTTTCTTTTTGGTAGAAGGTCTTGTCTGTGCTTTAAGAGGCACGTCATTAAGCTCTTAAAAAATCCACTTTGTCCCTGGTAGTGTGAGATGGGATAACCAGCATGGATTCTTTAAGCAATTTTATTAAGAATATTTGCCAGTATTGCCATGTTAATTCAAAATTGAACAAATTTAACAAATTGATCGAATTATTGAATTACAAATTCAAAATTGATCGAATTTAACAAAAGAAATTTTGCAAATGTATCGCGCACACTTATAATGAATCATTTGACGTCAGCAAACACAAAATGATCTGCTTAGGTACTGAAAACTAAAAATATTAAAACATAGAAGTGCGATACAGACTTCGCCGGGTCAGGTCACTTATAGCCCCCTTGGGGCGCAACTTATAAAGGAAATTGACGTTTACATATTTAAAATATTAGACAGATAAGAAACATAGTGGATAGTATATAAAAATATAAAGAAACAACAATTATTAGTTTATTTAGACCACAAAGTGCGCCGGGTGATGAGTAATATGGCGCCACTAGTTAACTAGTTTAAATTAATCAATTAGTTTTTAATAAAAAAATATTTGCCTGTAATGGAATGTGCACTTAAATAGGATATTTGTTGAAATGAAAGTAAACAAAAATTTGTTGGATTGACTTGATTTCTTTACTCAACGTGATATTCCAAAGTACCTACATGATAAGGTAATTAACTTTGGAAACGTTTTCAATTACTGATTAATTTTAAAATTCTTACATATTTAAAGGTGACGTAGTGGCCATGAAACTCCAGGAAGCCATGTTAATGGAGAGTGAATGTAGTGTAGCATTTTCTAGATCCGTAAGCATAGTGATAAAGAGTTTTGAATGTCAAGGAAGCGGATGACATATGTGAACATTGTCTAAAGCGTCACAATTATGTAGGAGAACCGGCACTAAAATTTTGCCAATGTTAAGGCAATGATGGGATCTCAATTTTCAATTAATTTCGGTTTGCTATTCTACATCTACCTGAAACCTAATATTAATGGTCCAGCGTCTACATCATAAATTTATGGTAACATATATGTGTATTATTTTTACCATTAACTAGTCATAATTAAGTTAACATTAACAGACTTTCCAGAACCTTTAAAAAAGGTTTTGGAATGGCGACCGAACGACGCTCAGTGGGTAGGCCCCCCACTAGATGGACCGACGATCTTATAGAGATTCGGGAATTGGAGATCAATGGAGAAGGCCTATGCTCAGCAGTAGGCGTCGTACGGCTGTTGTCGATGATAATAGCAGACTTTGTGTAGGGCTCTTTATTTTGTTATGAGTATCACACAATTTAGCCTAATACAAATACGAGAAAAACGGAAATAATTCGATATAAGCCTGGCATATTTTTAATCAAGTTTGTGAGCCAATTACAGGATACTTTATTTAAGAATCCATCTCATTTTAGCTACGGAAGGTATAAAAAAACATCAAGTCAAAAAACCTTCATTTCCTTCACGCAAAATTACAAACACGACTTTTTTCACAAATTTTGGTTTTATTTATCATAGCGACAATGAAAATTACTGAAATCCAACTAAAAATTTACAAGAAATATTTTTTTTTTAAACTTTTTTTTTGTAGTTTAATATGATAAAACTTTTATTCAAAGTATTTCTGAGTGGATTTTAATGATTTTTAGTAGTGATTAACTCAAAAGTCTGCTGCATATATTGCGTGTTATATTTTTGCTTCATAAATAATTATAAGGCTATTTAATTATATTGGTATGCAATATTCCCATGGAAATTTTCATTGGATTCAAAACAAAATATACTTAACGCAATATAATAATATCGATTGAAGTCGTATTGTATTTCATTGTTAATATTATTGTTTTTTTTTTTATAAATATTTTTTAAATATTTATTGTCCGTGTTATATAAAAATATGAGTTTCCAAATATAAAATTAGGAAGATTTATGTATTTCATGGAAGTAACATAAGTAACAGCGTGAAAATACGTAGAAGTCACTTTATATGTATTTTGCTTATCATGCCATTGATAAATTTTATTTAGGAATTTTATTTTTTTACTTATAATCCGAAAGAAAATGTCGTTGGATTATTTCATATATTAAAAAGGAAATATATGATACCCTCATAATAAAAAAACAGCTGTTATGTTTTAATGTTTGATCTCCATACTGAAAGTTGGTATTTGTATTAGGCTAATTTTAAAACCGGCAAGTGCGATTCGGACTCGTGAACGAGGGCTTCCTTACCATTATCTATGAAAAACGCAAAATAATCGCGTCTGTTCTATGGGAGCCCCTTAAATATTTATTTAATTGGATTTATAGCAGCCACAGAAATATATCGTACCTGTGAAAATCTCAACTGTCTAAATATCACGGTTCATGAGATATAGGCTGGTGACACACGGTCCCGTTTTAGCTAAAAAAGACCTCAAAAAAGGAGGCAACACGCGGTAGGTACATAGGGCCAATTTTGGAATAGATACAGAGTTTTTTATTTCCCGTTCACATAGTAATAGGGTAAGTAACAAAGTAAAGGAGTTATGAATTAAATAAACACCTACATAATGGACTATTTTTAATTATACAAAGTTCGAACGTCTACCAAAGTCCGTGCGTGTATTACGTACCTACGATAAATTTATAAATGACAATAACAAACGCATATTCTAACAATTTTCGGACACACCTCAAGGCTTACCAATGACAGCACTACAGCAGAAAGGGCCGGTGGGATAATTGCCTATTTTAAATATCTATCCAATACCTTTCGAAGGTATGGCGATAGTCATATCGATTTATGTCATTATGTAACTTGTAAAGTCACAATTGCTTTTGAAACGAATGATAGCTTTAATTATCAAGAAACAATAAAATCTTGCCTAAATCCCTTGAGAAATTTTCAGCTTCCGTACAACTCTTTCGTTTGAAATGTTTCAATGCTTGCCTTAATCAATTTTAATTAACTTTAAATAAACTATATCTTTCAAAATAACTTCGCTATCGCAATTGCTATCATATGTCATATAGTTTTAGCATAAAGTTCAAAAGCAAAAATATCATTAAAATGTCAAATTTTTATATTTTGTTCACTGATGGATCCAAAGGCGGTGATGTTAGTGGTATTGCGTTTCTGGACTGGCAAATTAGTAAATTCATTAAACTTCGTGTTGAGTGTAATATATCAATTATGTATACTGAAATGATAGCTATTCTAGAAGCGCTTTCATATATTCAAAGTATAGATTATAATAACTTCGTGATTGCGACAGACTCCAAAAGTGCTATTCAACATATAGCAAAGTGCACGCAGAATGTAAGGGGCTTTCCATTGGGATATGTTATTATAGATATGATTATTAAATTAAGAGATCAAAATAAATACGTAGTCATACAGTGGGTTCCTTCACACATAGGAGTTGCAGGGAACGAGGAAGTTGATCGTCTCGCTAAAGAAGCAATCACTGATGGGGATAAATATGATTGCATATCATTACATACTGACATTTTACAACAAATAAAAAGAAACTGTTTTAAAGATTGGGCGGAATACTTTGACAAGAGATCCCTGACGAAGGGCATATGGTATAAAACTATACAGCCTTCACTTCCCCGTTCTCTGTGGTTTAAGGAATGCACTGAAATGAGTAGATCCGATATAATAACCGCTTTAAGACTAAGATCTGGTCATATACCACTGAATAGTTTTGGGTTCATGATGAAAAAAGTTGTTTCACCGAATTGCAGTATTTGTAATGAAGTAGAAGATGTTTATAAAATCATCATGGAGTGTTCGCGAACTCTAGAGTTTAGAAAAAAGTTACAAATTAAAAGTTATGACATAGGTGCATGTAACTGTATCTTGATGTATCCACGTTCTAAAGAAGCGATACTATTGTATAAATCTGTTCAATCGGCTATTAAAAATAGACAAGTTTTGTAATTAAACCTAATTGTTCACCTGTGACACATATTATGCGGGTGACATATCTACGGACAAAGCCCCCAAAATGTTAAATAAAGAAAAAAAAAATGACAAATTGAAAGGGATTGCTACGACCGACTTATTTTTTTTTTTTTGGTTTGTTTTGCCTCTTATTTGTTATGACAAGTTTTAATATCGAAATTGGCATAACGCCAAATAGTATATTTAGAGTGAAGAGAGTCTATTTTGTGTAAAAAAATGCGAATATTAAACACAATAACATTTTTATACGAGTAAATACATGTTTGTAAGAACACCAGTTATATATTTATAGACATTAAATGGAACGTGTTTTACACGGTCTTGCTACAATCAGGTTTTTTCTTAAACATTTATATCAATTACATTGTAATACCCTTTTTAGTACAAAACTAACACAACTTTGATTTCAGCTTTGTACCTACACAAAATTATATGATTTAAAATTTTAATTCATTTTCAGTGTGTTTGCTTACGGTAAGAGTTTATTTAAAAAAAT